GATAGATAGATAGATAGATAGATAGACAGATAGATAGATAGATTCAGACAGATAGATAGATGACAGGGCCATAGCTTTGCTCTCGGGCTAGACATATGCCAGGAGATATAGGTTGTTGTACCAAATCCTGCATGACCCTCGCTACGCTAGACTACCATAGTTCCCTGGGTTCCGGTACATACAAGCACTCAGGATGATAAAGCATTAGGTTTGCAATCACCCATCTCCAAGAATTAGAGAGTATCATGAGAATAGTTACTGCCAATCCCTAAGCCTCAAACCAAAAACCCGAAACCATGTCCCCCGCACCCCCACCTCTGAGGGACAGCTTTCTCTACAAGGGACCTGTAGCCTTTACGGGGGGGGTGGGCTTAAGGCTATTTGGAGGTTCGTGAGACTCAGTAAGTACTTAGAACTGGAGTTAAAACCCCACTTATAGTCCCTCTAACCGGCCTTACAAAGGTTACCCCATAAGTAGGCTTATAAAGCCCGATTATATGTAGTTTCTAAGCACCATGAGCCTCTTAGTAGGGGGCGGGATGAATGACGTGCAAGCGAGTTCTAGCTTCCCAACATTGTTTTGGTGGGTTCCGTTGTATCACTATCAGTACCTTTGTGGCTGCCGTTATCATCACCTTCTTTCTTGTACATTTTCACTGTCATTGCGAGTACCATCATGTCTCAAAACGTGAGTTTTTCCATTGTTGTAGAAATTTCGCCCAGGTACAAAACCCTAAACCTTAACCCTTAAACCCAAAACCCTACACCCATTGGGGAGTGTGTTGAGGGATCCCTTGATGAAAGCCCTCAGAGGCATGACAAGAAGCATCTCAAACGTGCTTTGTCCACTATCGAGAAGGACCGGCAGTTTAGGGTTTAGGGTTGGTATTTGGGATTGCTAGACAGTAAGTCGATTCCTATAACATGAAACTCCATGCCTCAAAGCCTTAAAATCCCTGAACCATTACCCCTAAATCCTAAAACCCGGACCGTCATGACCCTAGACGCAATAGCCTAAGATGCCCTAAAACAACTCAAGCCCCAACCCGCAAACTGCCCGTAGAGAGTGACACTAATGCCCAACCCTGATCCCCCTTTGCAGAATGAAATTGTATTGGGGGATGATTTGGAGGTGGACAGGGCTCATTGTTGGGGGTAAGGGAGTGAATTGGAGGTTGGCGGTTCATGGTGTCATGGTTTAAGAGGCGGGATTTGGCATTTCTTGAGCTTCCATGTTAGCTTCGGGGATGTAATCCTTCAGAAATTCTGGGGCTCGCTCCTGGGCTCTTAAAGTAGTGTAAGGATGCCTGGGAGTCCCCAAAATGCCTAGGTTATCACCTAAACCCTAAATCCCTCTTTCGTAAAGGCCTAGGTAGCCGGTGGCAGTAGTGGAAAGGGATTCGAGGGAACATGGTTGGAATTGCTCAGCTGCGGACTTTACATGCAATTTTGAGCTCAGTATCCCATGGAAACGGGACCATATCAGCTTTCATGTTCGCTTGGAAGCAACTTAAGACATAGACTTTGAGGGTCTAGGTCAGGGAGACTCAGTAAGGAAAGGGTATGTACGGGAATATAGGGGTATATCTAAGGTTATAACCCCTAAGCCGTAAACCCTAAGCCCTAAGCCCTAGAGCCTAAACCCTAAACCCCTAAACCCCTAAACGGGTGGTATGTAAGGGGATGGAAAAGAAAATGCCAGCATCCCGCGGCTTCGACGCCTAAGTCTGCTGCCATCTCGTGTTCCCAAACTCTTCAAAAACACACGGTCTAGGGTTTAGGGAATAGGGTTTAAGGATTAGGGTTTAGGGAATGGGGTTTAGGCTTTAGGGATTAGTGTTTAGGTGTAAGATCACGGGGACTTAGTAAGTAGCTAATCCTAACGACCTCATGCTAATGCGTGAAGGCAAAACCCTAAGCCCTAAAAAGCCTGAACCCGCAACCTGACACCCGAAACCTTACCACCTAAACCCTAAACCCTAGATCCTAAACCCTAAACCCTAAACCTTAATCCCTAAACCTTGAAACCTAAATCCTAAACCCAAAACCCAAAACCTTCAACCCTAAGCCCCAAACCCAACTGTTCAGTGCGCAAGACTGCAGGATTCCCTTCGATACAAGAGCGGTATGCTGAAACCATGGCTTGATGAGAATGGGGATGTGGTCTCTTGACCGCGGAATCAGCGTTTAGGGTTTAGAGTTTAGGATTTAGGGTTTAGGATTTGAGGGTTTGAGGCTAAAGGTTCAGTGTTTCAGTTTGGGGGTGGTTTATGCTCTGCACCCTAAACCCTAAACCCTAAACCCTAATGGGATGCCTCCCAGGCTTTGGGTCATTTGATTTCGGCAGGGCTTTGTGCAAGGTCGACAGTCAGGTCCAGAGTGAGGTATGGTGAGTGAAGGGCCCTGAACTAGGGTTTAGGGTTAGGGGTTTTGGGGTTTGGGGTTTAGGGTTTAGGGTGTAAGGTTGAGGGCTTCGAATTCAGGCCTCACAAAGAACCTGGAAAGCCAAACTACCCAAAATAATGGGCTGCTGTGTCCTGTATCGCATGAATGGGGAACTTTGACCCAGAAGCCCTAAACCCAAACCCCCAAAACAGTTACCCAAATTCATGGTCCACTAGCGTTTAAGGTCCGCTTAGGAGCCACTCGAGCACCTCCCTCTCGCACCCCCTAAGCTCACCACAAACCAGGGCTGGGTTGCAGAGCCTGAGCCTGACACCTTGAGCCTTCCTTACAAGCCCTTTTCTATGGCTTAGTTATAAGACCCCTAAGTCCCCTGAACTTATAATTTGGTGCAATGGCTCAGAATGATCCTGAACCTCCAAGTAAACCTGAATTGGTTCAAAACTGTGTGTTGTGAGTGGCCCAGGAGCCCAGAATTGAGTATCCACAGCTATTTGTTTTTTTTTGGGGGCTGCGATGTGTCAGCTTTCATGTTGCGGTTTGTCTGCTCTAGACGGTTTGGTAGGATGTCGCCGGGCCATGACCGAAGGTTTCAAAGGTCCAGGTCATCGGATTATTCTATATAAGGGATATCATCCCCCAGTCACGCTTTGGAGTTTAGGGCCCAGGAACTATAATGGAGAAACAAATGGAACCTAAACGGAACCTACTGTTGTTCCCTCTTTGCGTTGTCTTGTCATTTTGCCACGTCTAGCACCACATTTCCGGTTTGGAACTTAACTTGGATATGCTTTGCGAGGGGCACATGTGTTTGTTCGGGTACATGTCGGTTTCTTCTGGTTGCCCTAAATCCTAAACTCTACGCGGTAGTTTCTCAAAATAGGGGGACCCCAATATAGACGCCAAACTATTTTAGCCCTTATTATAGGTACCCCTAGAAAGGGATCCCAAATGTTTGGAAACCTTCAAGCACGCAGCCTAGGTTTGGCCAAAGAACCGGATCAAGGTTGCAAAGATCGTCCTCTCACAGTCATTTGAGACAGTGACTGGTGGCTGTTAAGGAACTTAATTTAAGTTACTATACTGCGGAAACCATGTGCGTGATTTGAAAGTACCATTATGGTAATTTCAGCTAAGTTCCTCTACAGCAACCCAGGTGATGGGAATCATCATCCTCTTCAACGTGTTCATCATGATCCTAGAGACAGATGCTGATGCCACTTGCGTGACGTCGGACCCCAACCCCAGTCGTCAGATGACGAGCTGTCCATCGCAGAGTGCGTCAATAGCTTGGCTGCAGGTGGTGAATTACTTGCTGCTAGTTGTGTGTCTTGCCTGTCCTGTGCGCAGCCTTTCATCTCTTCAGATTTTGGAAGCCTGTTATACATCCAAAGCTTAACCGTACGAAAGCTGAGATGTTGGTTGCCTACTTGAGGGGTCCGGGAGACCTAGTAAGCTATCACCCCTGTATTCCAGATAACAGGCTTGGTTTTCCTTTTGCTATTGACTACGCACCCAAACCCAAAACCTTTAAACCCTAAACCCTAAGCCCTAAACCCTGAACCCTGAACCCTACGCCCTAAACCCTAAGCCTTAAACTCTAAACGTAAAGCCCCGAGCCCCAAACCCTGAACCTTCAGCCCTAAACCCCAAACCCTAAACCCTGAACCTCATCAAGGTATACTGCGGAGTGCGCAGCGCGCGCCTTCGTGGAGAGAGAGGCCTACCCTTGGAACAGATGGAATCAGGCAGCTGCTGAAACGATTATGGAAACCCCCGTAGTGATAGAGGTTAAGGATTTAGGGTTTAGGGTTTGTAGTGCTTACTGGTTATAAAAACAGTAACAATGGGAATAACAGTATTGAAAATGGTAATCGTAATCATATTGTGTATGGAGGAATTGTTGTGGAAAGTATTGTAGTTCCTAGGCCCTTTAGCCTAAGGGACTTGGGGTGGTTCTACGTTTCCTCGATGAATAGTTTGTAAAGGCCGGTTAATGTTGGGTACTGCCCCCCTCAGTAACAGTTGGATAATAAGTATAATATGGCTATATATAGCCCTTAATAGGACCCCTAGTATAGACTGTTACTGGGAGGGGGCAGTACCCAAGATTAATGTTACCAGTCAGAGGGCAGGTCGGGGTTGGGAGCCTTGAAGTTAGAACCGGCCAATGTCTCACATTCCAACACAGCCAGCAGTCGGAGCGCTGCAGTGAGTTTGGCAGCCATGGTTTTTGGACACCCACACCCCGGCTGCGTGCAAAGTCCCCTCTAAACCCTAAACCCTACAATACCAGTCACAAGAGAAGGTTGGGGTCGCCATCCTCCAGACTGTTTGTTTCCCGTGTCGCATCTCATGTCGTGCCTAAAGACGTATATTGTGTCGAGTCTTCGGTGGTGTCTCGTGTTGTCCTGTGCTTGAGTTTCTTTGTCGTGTTCTTGTGTCCGGAGTCGTGTCGCCGTGTCTTCGCGTCGCATCATGATGGAGAGGGGATACCTTGAACCTTAAGCCCCAAACTCGAAACCCTACGTAAACCCTAAAACCCTAAACCCTGGGCTTTGAACTTGGACAGTTGCCAGGTCGACCTCGTCACAGTCATGTCAGGATGGTTGGGCACAGCCTTGGCTTCCACCCTTCCTATCAACGTCCTGCGAATTCTGCGGTTAGTACGATTGGTGCGTGCAGCGCGCGTGGTGATCTCTGTGCCGGAGTTCTACATCCTGGTTTCGGGCTTCACTTCCTCCTTCAAAGCGATTCTTTTTGGGTCTGTAATGCTGGTGTGCATCATTATAGTGTGGTCGATCATTGCGGTGGAGATCCTACATCCGGACAGCCTGAGGCACTAGCAAACTTTCAGTTTTCTTGGAGCTTGTCATTGGCATATATGGTGTTGACTTGGACTTATCGGAAATCTTCATGACCCGCGCAAATCTTGAATCTCTCCGTTAGCAAAAGCACGGTGGTTCCATGCTTCTCTGGCAGCGGCCTTCGGAGAATGCATAGTGACAATAATGTGTTTCTCAAAGTTCTTGTGTTTTGGTAAATTTGGGTTCCCCTTTGGGGTGTCTCTGTAGCAAGGACTACAGCGTTTTACGGTCGATTTTTAGACCTTTGTGGGAACCCTAGATAGGTTTTGTCAGGGAATCTCGGGGCCTCGCTGTTTAGGGTTTGGGTTTCGGGGTGCAGGGTTCAGGGTTTAGGATTTAGGGTTTAGGGCGTAGGGCCCTTGATCCAGGGTTTAGGGTCAAGAGCATCTCCGCGAACTTCAGTTCGACAGTAGACTTGGAGGTTCGGGGGTTGTAATGGGGGAGAGTTTACAATTATTGCCAGGAAGAGAAAAAGCAAGGCAACTTTGAACCATTCAACCCTGAAATGAACCCCCAACCCCTGTGCCCTATACCCTTCACTCCAAACCGTTAGCCCTGTACCTTAAACCCTCAACCATAAACCTTGGGTACTGCCCCCCTCAGTAACAGTTGGATAATAGCCATAATATGGTTATATATAGCCCTAAATAGGACCCCTAATATAGACTGTTACTGGGTGGGGGCAGTACCCAACATAAACCCTAACCCACATTCTGGGGTTTGATTTCTTTGAGTTGGAATTTTCGAAAAAGCTGTGTCACCGACATGTGCAGCATGTGGGGGTTTCCCAAAATTAAAGGTACCCTTCTTGAGAGGCCACCATAATCAGGATTATAGTATATGGGGGTCTGCATTGGCATCTGTCTATTTCTGGAAGCTATTGCCATGCCACCCACCCCCACTTAAGGCGTGAATGTGTTATTTCAAATATGGACGCTGTAGTTCCTAATACAGAGTAAGATTACATTCCCCTTTTGGTTGTGGCATCTTTGTTTTGCTTTAGCCTGCTACTGGTTCAGCCACAAAAAGAAACACCTCTCAAAGGGGGCTGAGTAAAGGGTGATTTACCTAAACCCCCGTTATCCCAAACCCTAAACCAGGTCCGACAAAACAAGCAAACCCTAAACCGTTTAGGGTTTAGGGTTCCGGGTTTAAACCCTTAACCCTACACTGCACCGTAGACCTTGGCTTGGGGTGTCTCCATCCTTGAAGATATGAGCTAAGGAGTCGTCTCCAAACAAAGATGCAACCCTGACAAGGCTCTGCAAAGATTAGAGTCCATGTGTACAAGGGCAAAAGTGTTTTTGGGTCTATATTGAGGCCTCTATTCATGCAAGCGCTCATATTACAACAGCCGAAAAGGTGGTGTTCCATATGTGTCTAGTTGAGTGTAGTCCTCAAAATCCCGGGCCGCATGTCTCTAAACCCTAGGCACTAAACCCTTAACGTTCGACCTTCAACATGTGGAATCGCACTAGTCACGCCCCCGAGCCAAGGCAAAATCGAAACCTCAAAACTAAGCCTTCGCCAAGAACCAAGGAAAATGTGCAGATTACGTACCCATCCTGTGTCGAATGCAAATGGCGCTTCCAGAGTGTGTGGTCTGCCATGCTGACTATCTTCCAGCAGGTGCAGTTCCCGCTTACTTGCTGGTTCTTGGTAGGGAAGAAGGGAATATAGTATGTACAGATTATATAGGGATTACATTCCCTTTCCCCCACGAAGAGTCAGTAAGCTCAGCCGTATACGCCCACGAAACCTTAGGGGAGCTATGGTACGTGAAGGACATCCAGCACCACCTTTCCAGCCCTGATAGGTGGGATCTCTGAAATTACTTCGTACTTCAGGTATCCCGGGTGGTGCTAGATGGGCATTTCGCCATACAGGCCATATGCCTCACAGGGACCTTGTAATCCTTCTATAATCCCCATGCATTGCTAGGGTCCCTGAGGCCCTCCATTTTGAGCAACCCCTATATTTCTGCCATCCCCAGTAGGGTTAGAGGCTGGCTCCTCATGAGTGTTAGGTAACTTTTGTTGTTTTTGACCGTTCTGGGTGGGATGTTGAGGGTGTTGGCTGAGGGTCAGATTTTTTTTTGCTCTGTGCCCTGTCCATACGCTGCAGAAGGGTTTTGGACTTTTGTTTAGATATGCTCTTCAAGACTAAAGTCTGTAAGGGCTTTGGGTTCGGAGTTCGGTCCTAGTTTTTAGGCCTTAATCCTATACCCTAAATCCTAATTCCCAAGCCCTGAGCCCTGCATCCTAAACCCTAAACCCTAGGGTCTTGGGTGCCAGACCGGGCCTAGATCAAGGTACACTCCCGGAAACTAACATGGAAACGCAAAAAAGGGCCCTTTAAAGACTACAGTCCTTCTAAAAGGGTACTATATGGGTTTCCATGTTAGTTTGGGGGAGCGTACGTACTTCAGGTTCCAGGGTTTAGGGGTTGGGTCTCCGAGTTGTGTTTAAGGCACTTTAGTCAAGCTATCCTCATAAGGGAGCCAAAATTTAACCTACATCCTTATTATGGTAACTCTTGTTTAGGGTTCAGCTTCAGGGTTGAGGGTTTTGATTTATTCGTACTGTGATAACTTTGCGTAAGTTAACAGAATCTCAAGTCATTCGGATTAATTCCCGAGTCCAGTTCCTTGCTTCGTGCGCAGGTGGTTGCCGGCGACTCGTGGGGAGAAATTTCGATCCCTCTAGTGGAAAAGGCGTGGTGGACCATCTTATTCTTGTCGCTGAGTTTCTATGGAGACGATTTGATTTTTAGGGTTTAGGCTTCTAGGTCTTAGGGTTTAGGACTAATCTTGCTACAGCGCTGCACAGGAGTTCAGAGCAGTAGCATCGCAGGGCCTGGCCTTTGGAAAACGCTCCGGGTCCAGGGTGTGCAGCCTAAACTCTGAATTTCAAGCCCCAACCTAAACCCTATACCCTAATCCTTAAACCATGAACCATGAACCCTAAGCCCACAACCTCAAATCCCAAATTCAACCTCTCAACTTTGTTATTCTTGCAAGAACTTGAGTGCCAGCATAGCTTCACTGTTCACTCGGCTTGCCAGTCGTCTTCAAAGCTTAAAGCCAAAACACCAACCCTCAAGCCCAAACCTCCCATGTCAACTGTGCGTTTTTGGTCCTTATTCAAAGCCCCAAGCTCAGCAGTCCCTTAACATCCTAAACTCTAAAGCCCAAACCTCGAAACCCCAAACCCCACACCCTAA